TTACTCGTAATAGTAGATGATACAACCACACTGATCATTTTTTATTTCTTTTATTTTCTTGACATTTTTACCCATGATGCCCTTACGGGTTTTCGCCATGTCTGTCATTTTGGGGAGGCATCTTTAAGGTCATACCATCAAGACCATAGAGTTAGTGTGTTTTAAGGTCATACACCAAGACCAAGCAGGAAGCGTGTTTAAGGTCATGCCACATGGACGATAAATTATTGTGTTTTAGGGTTACACACCAAGACCAAGTGTCACGTAGTTTAACATCATACTACATGAACGTGTGCTATGGTTCCAAGGTTATAGGAAACGGCCTCACTTCCACACTTATATAAATATGTCTATTAAGAGTGCCCATTATATAAAACACTCCGACTTATAGATAGTCCATAGATAATATTAAGAGTACAACTCAAGCTACTAACATACAGATAACACTAGACTTATCCACCGTATGGATTTCCTTAGATTGGGTACTTACAATATTTTGATTTCTATTGATCAATATAATCATACATATAGCTTCTTATTACCACATTGAACCTAGAAGTTTGAGGGTATAAAAGGCGACGTTGGGTCCCCACTATAGATGATTACTCTATGGACTTTAGCACCATTCTTTTTGACATTTTACTAATGTCATCCTTTGCAAGCCCTTTTTTATCAAAGGAGTAGCCAAAGTTTCTTTTGATCTTACATGTTCTACACTAATCACTCCATCTCCAATTAAAAATATAATTGAGTTATGCCTTCCCTAAAATATGTAGATTTTCTGTTATATATGTTATTACATGCTCTCGTAATAGTAATTTGATTATTACAATATATTGTGATTGTATGTATTAGTTTTGGTTATATGGGTACCATCATATAATAAGTTCTTTAGGCAATCTACACCTTTACCAACAGAGTCGAAAGCAATAATTTCGGACTTCATAGTAGAGTGTGAAATATAAATTTGTTTATTTGACCACTATATAAAAATCCATCTGGATATTACTAGTGAATTTTCGATTTCCTTGTTTCAATGAGCATTACTATATCCTTTCAAATTTGATAGTTCCTTTTGAGTATGTTGATACTTGAGATTGTATTCCAATGTTCTCTACCAAGGCAACTTGTCTATCTAATGAGTTTACCCATTGCATATGTAATGTTAAGCCTTGTGCTACTCATTGTATACATGGAACAACTAATTACCCTGGTATATTCAATTTGAGATACACAACTCCCGTCAAGTTTTTGTTAACTTAAAATGAGGATATATTAGGATAGAGACTAGCTTACTATAAATATGCTCAAACTTATGGAGCATTTTAATATAGTGAAACTAAATTAATATTAACTCTTTTTCTTTTCTCACTACTTTGACACCCAGTATCAAATCAGCCTCTCCCAAATCCTTCATGTCAAAGTTAGATGTGAGAATTCTCTAAATTTCCTCCACAATTTTCATATCAATGCAAAAAATACGCATGTAATCTACATAAAGATATGTTATAATACATAAAGAATATATTTGCTTACTATTTATCTTAAATTCATTTGACATCAATAGATTGTCAAATTTCTTGTGCCATTATTTTGGTGCTTGTTTAAGTCTATAAAGATATTTGACTAATTTACATACTTTATTCTCATGACCTGGCATCACAAACCTTCAAGTTGTACCATATAGATTTATTTATCTAAGTCACCATTTAAAAAAGTAGTTTTTACATCCATTTGATGTATGGTTAGCTGGTTAATAAAGGCTATCGCTAAAAGCAATCGTATAATAGAAAATCTTGCCACAAGTGCATATATGTCAAAATAATCGATACCCTCATTTTTGTTTAAATCCTTAACCACTAATCTAGCCTTGTATTTATTAATAAAACCATCATCATTACATTTTCTTTTAAAACTTTATTTTTAACCTATGAGTTTAGAACCAAGTGAAAGATCTACCAATTTTTAAGTTTTATTTGCAATTATAGAGTCCATTCCCCTATTTATAGCTTCTATCCAAAAAGTTGCATCTAATGATCAAGGCTTCACTTAATGATGTTGGATCTTCCCCCACATTTGAAACTATTGGTACTAACTATAATATCTTATTTTGAATTGCTTCAACTAGATAAATATAATCTGGGCCAAAGTTACTAAATGGATCACTTCTAATTATTTTACTTCTTCGTTCTATTTTTTTCATCATTATTACTTTCTTCAAGTTCTTCATCAATATTTTGATCAATCCTGTGATTATTTTCACTTTGGTAGGCTACTTATTTTTATCTAATTTACTTTTACAAGAGATTTTAAAAAGTTCAGTATCTCTAGATTCCATTATTATATTAGAATTTCAATCCAGAACTTACATGATTTACTATTTTGTGAATATTTTACAAACACACTTGGTGGTTTTAGGAACTAATTTATTTTTTTTAGGAACTGGAAGTCTAACATATGCAAAGGAACCCCATACTTCAAGAAAATTCAATATGGTTTTTTATAAAACCAAAGTTTATAAGGGGTCTAATCATTCTATTTATATGGAAAAAGTTTAGGCTCTAGAGGGATTTGGTGTTGCTCATTTTTTACAAGAGATGCTTACTTATAAATCCGACTATACAACTGTTGCAATAAGAGAATGGTTTGGAAATGCACCAATTTGGCCACTATAAGTGGATAAAATAATTTCTTCCACTTCTGAATCCCAAATGATTCAATTAGGAGTCAATACACAAAGATTTAGGATCATTTCTTTAATTTGCTGTCCACTTCTAAATTCATAACCTTCGCGGTAGCTTCATCGATGTTACCTACCAATAAAAAGCTTGATCCCTAGACAATCTTGTTTTTTTTCCAACCTGAATAAATAAAGAAGCCATTGCGATTGTTGGAAAGAATATGCCTACGAAAGGCACAAAAATAGAACATAAGTTGAAAAGTCTCGGATATTAGCCTGTTCACGAGTTTAAGATATATATATATATAAAGCTTCACCCCATAATTTGATGGCAAAGAAGAAGAAAATAACACAACATTCACCATTTCTACCAAAATTATACTTTTTCTTTCTGCCTGTACATTTTTTTGAGGAGCATAACGAATAGTCACTTGATGAATAATACCATCATTTTCTAAAAATTCATTGAAATCCTTTGATTGATATTCTCATCTCCTATCCTCTCACTTCTTAAAATTTTAATTTTCTTACTATGCTATGAAAATTTTGAAGTTTTTGAAAGCCTCATCTTTATATCTAAGCAACTAAACATAAACATATCTAGAAAAATCATCAATACGTGTATTAAAATAATTTTTCTCACCTCAAGTTAGAATATTATTCAAGTCACATTTATCACTATGTATGAGTTATGAAAGTGCACAAACTTCACATTATTCAGTAGATAATTTATCAGTAGATAATTTATCGTAATTAGAAATAAATCCTTATTTAACCAAAAATATAATAAAAACAAAGTTAATATATCCTTTCTACTATGCTACACATTACAAGAAGTCATAACATAAGAAAAATGACTAATTCACTGAATTCACTAAATTAAGTTTAACCATTCCATGTAACCCTTGCTAACAAACACACTATTTTTGGTCAAAATGAATTGTCTGACCATTTTAAGACCGTTCTTGTACAACACGAATCCCAACACAAGATTTATCCAAATATCCGGTATATCGAATACATTAATATCCGATACATAGAATATATATATATATATATATATATATAAGAAGATGCTTGGGTGAGCCCATTAGCTCACAGGAAAAACAGAGCCCAACGGCCCAGATTGAATCTGGGCCGATATGATGATCACGAATGTCCAGTAGTGTCTTGATTTTAATTTTTTTTCTACAAATCCAAATCACTTGAAATCTGGAGAGTTTGTACATAAAAAATAGGTGAATCTTTAAAAAAATCAAAAAAATATTTTACATGAAATAAATTGATCAAAATAATCCCAAAAAGTTTCAAGGATATTTTGGTCAATTAGTTTTCACGAATTATTTTTTTTATATTTTTATTAGGTGCGACTTGATGAAAAAAACACACAAAATTTTAAGTGATTTAGATTTGTAGAAAAATAATTAAAATTCAAAGACTACCAGACTTCTGTGATCGTCAGATCAACTCAGATTCAATCTAGGCCGTTGGACTCATTTTTTCATGTGAACTAGTGGACTTACCCAAGCTTTTTCTATATATAAATTTAAACATAAAAATTCAAATGATGATGATGATGATGATGATAATAATAGTAGTAATAATACTAATAATAATAAGAATAAAATACAATTATGTACATCAACAAGAGGCCAATTCGGACTAAAGCTGCTCGAAGTAGGCCAAAATGGATGCAACAAAGCTTTGCATGGCTTCAATCTAGGCCAAAAATATGAAAACGCCAGCCTCTTCAGCCAAAAGCAAGCTGCCGAAGTGAAGTGAAGTGAAATTGATAACATTGATTTCCACCCATTTGAAGCGAAGTGAATTTGATAACATTGATTTCCACCCATTTGGTTTTAATGTATCCTATCCCACCTTATTTCCATATCATGAGTACTTTAACTTACTATTTTTCATTGTTTGCCCATGAAAAGGACTAGGCAATTAAAGAAAACTCCTCATTATGTACTTGTGATTATTTATTACCTTAATTACCTTGACAAAATAAAATTTATAGTAAACGTATCGAATCTGAAAGTTATTCTTTAGATATGCAACAAGAAATAACTAATCTAAATGACCTTGCCAGTAATCATGTGGCAGCTTAGATACATCCATGAGCAACAATATAACATACCCCAAACTAAGAAAATACAAATCTGAGTAATTTAATTTTGTCTTGTTTTCTCTTAAAATCTAATTTTTCTAACCACCAAATACCAACAAATTGACGTTTAATGCTTCATACCACACATAGATATTTGTACTTCATCCATGACAGGGCTCTAGTGAAGTATGATCACACGGGACCCAAAAGTTCATGAAAGTTTCAAGCATATAATTAATGTCCAAGACCTTCAGCCCAAAAATATGTCACCAAAAATCCATGCTGTACAATTACCATATGGAGATGCAATGATGTTACCTGCCTCTCTTTTAATACAATGGCAGGATGCCGGCCATAACCAATGCATTTGAATTCAAAATCTATGTTAAAACATTCCCATATCTTTCTTCTCCGTTTCAACAAATTTGTGTAGTTGTCGGCTCCTTCAAACAAAAAAAGAACTCTAAGAACCCTTCTTGTATGTATATCGACGTCATGAAACCAACAGATTCTTAGGCTACTCAAGGGCTCAAATCCAGCAAAACCGCCTGTAATATCCACAAAAGGCTCACACACACACAAAAGTAGCCATCTCTGTGGTTATTTGCTATTCTTACTTCAGGTAATCCCAACAGGCATTTAGCCTCTGCCTCTGTTTACTTCGTTCCATCCACACAAAATCAAAAGATTCAAAGTTCCTAAACCTCGACACTTTGTTCCATGTCCATGTCCATGAAGTCCAAATCCTGACATTGAGAATTTTTAGCACATATTGAAGTCCTAGACCCAGAATCCATACCCATTTTTACACCCAAATCATTGCTTAGAAACCCAGGCTCAAACTCTTCATCATCACTGTCAATGTTTCTTGGGGTGAACCTGTTTTGATAACTTCTGCGCCTCAAAAGGAAAACATTAAAATAATAACTCACTATCTCTTCCTTGCTTTTGGCAGAGAAGCAAGCAGATGCTTGACACCAAAAGCTGTTATCAAGAGAAGATGAATTCAATCTCACAAGAGCCTTGAATCTCTGTTCTTCTCTTTCTGTCCAAAAGGTCGAAACTTCTTCACCCATATCATAGAACCTCCAGTTGAAGAAGGCCGAACCCAATTCTGCCCTCAATCTCTGTCTTTTCTCAGATATATGGCTCCTAATGCACTCAACAGATCCAGGAAGGTAGCATGAACACATAAGGGCCCTGCCTTTTCCTATACTCTCTCTCTCTGTCACTACATTGGAGCCTTTAAAAGGCCAAATTTGTCTACCCAACCATTTTGAATCGTCAGAAAAGCCTGATTCACCGAGTGAAACTTTGCGTTTCACATCTACCCTGTCAGGAACTTGGGCTTGGAAGTAGGGCCCAACTGGGACCAGCTTTCTCGAAAATCGGTCAATAGATAATGGATTTTCCTTAGACAATGGGCTCAATGAATCCAAGGGGTGGTTCTCAATGAAAATGTGGTCAACTTTGTTATTATTAGGGACACGACATTTACTTGGAGAAGAAGCGAGAAGAGAGAGCCGATTGTTTTGTAGGGCAAGAAGCCTCTGGCTGCTCCTCACAAGGTCCTCATACATAGAGGGGTGCACTCTTTGCCTCCTCTGCAGGGCAAGCGTTAAGATCCTCGTTGTCAACAAGGAAGTAAAAATGGAAAAAAAAGAAAGAGAGATGCAAAGCGGCGGAGATCTACAAATGCAGTTTCAAACTAAAAGAACTCAATTTAGAAGTATTGGTGATTCAAAAAATAAGTAATTAGTTAAGAGTTGAATGGATAGATCAATTACAGTTTTTTCTGTTTTTTTTATATTGTTACAGTTTTAGATCTAAAACATGAATAGAACAGAAATTAACAATCTTCTGAAAATGCATAAAATTTCTTACCTAACTTCCTCACAAATCATTGTAAAACTACAAGATAATAAAAACTTCTAAAAGAATTTAACCTAGAATCCATCTCCATTATTAGTCTATTCCAATTTAGTGTAGGTGATCATGAACTTATCAAATTCAAATACACAGTCATGAGTTCCATTCAGAATCTTTCAATTAGTTCCAACATCACCATGGAGATTGGCTTCTTAGCACCCAGCTCCACCCCTCAAAGCATAAGGAGAGATAAAAACCCAACATCCAAATTATTAAAATGAAGTAGATTCTTATCATTGACAAACATTGCAGAAAAGGCTCAAATCACACTTAGCTCCTTCATGCAACATATGCTTACCATACAAGTTGAAAAGTGACAATTTCAGGAAATACGACAATAGAGCTTGGTTTAGTCATAAAGGCTATACCCCATCAAGTTCATGATGCAGACCACTTTCCAATGGCATAATTTTTCACCCAGATGCCTGTTTAGAGCCAATCAAAGCTTAAGTTGAAGATTTCTTTGAGAACTGTACTCTTATATCCATTGGTTTTCATGTTACAGACTTTCGGGTTTCATAACATGGCTTAAAGCCTGGTGGAAAATTCAGCAACAAATTTTATTTTCCGGAGTGTATTAGGTTTCTTCTTTCCATTATTGAGTCCTATAAACCCCAGGGTAAGAACCTCAACAATCTTTTAGAATCTTCTACAAGATTGTGAGCCTCATAAATTAAAAAAATTGAGTCCTTAACATTGTAGTAAGTTGCTTCTTTCCTTGTTTCCAAGTTAGTTTCCGAAGTCTGCTTAAGAGTTTAAAAACATTCATTCCATGTTTTGTAAGCATCAAATTTCCTAAAACTATATAGGAAATATTTACTTAGGTTTGGAAGAATCTAGAAGATTAGGAAGTTCAGGAAAGTAGAGAGAGAGTTCAAGTCCAAGCTAAATCAAATAAAGACGTATTCTTTATTTTTTAAGTTGTTGACGGTTAAATCAAATAAAGACGTATTCAAGCCTGTATAAATACCAATGGAGACCTACAGCCAAATAAATCATATTGAATAATAACATTTGGGTTTGTAGTGAGAGGCTACATATAGAGGAGAGATTCCTTGACTCTTTTTGGTAGACAGAGATTCCACAAATCTACCCTAGGTATGAGAGAGTCTCCTCTTTTCTTCTTTTGGGGGAGAGATTCCCCAAAACCTTAGCTTGTTGTCTGCCAAGCCATTGCCTGGTGGTTTCTAAAACAATGACAAGGCCAAGCATTATGGCAAAACACTTCTTCCAGTGGACAGATCCACACTGCGCCTTTCCCCCCTCTCTTCCCCTAAAAAAAAAGCCCTTTTCTCGTTTTTCTCTCCTCTGGCTGACTGCGCATGAAACAATAACAAGGTCAGGATGATGGTGAGGCTACCCCCCCCCCAACCCTACAAAAAAAAAAGCCCTTTTCTCTTTTTTCTCTCTGGTTGCCTGGGCATGGATAGCATTTTAAATAATAAGGTACCTACACCTTCAAGGTCAAGAATAAGAACATTATTTTGAAACCTTTGAATGAGGTAAAGTCTCCTACAAAGACCAAGGCAGCCAAAGATTTGTCTCGAGCATCTTTCAGAAGAAAGCCAAGAGAATGGGGTAATCATGCACTTATTGGGAGAGACATCAAGTCTGGTCAGCATCTATCCGAATATGGGTGTCTTGCAGAGGTCCAGAAGATTCTCTCAGACTTCTTTGATTTGGTTCCAGATTAGTTCCCCATCAGGATGCTCCAAACGAGAGAATCCAACATGTTATAGATCTCATTCCTGGAGCTGCCCTTCTGAACAATTCCACTCACTGCAGAGTCCCACGGAGCATGAAAGCTTCCCAGCAGATTGAAGAGTTGTCGACCAAGGGATTCATTCACGAGAACACAACCAAATACACAATACCTGCCCAGTTCACTCCCAAAAAGGACAATGCAATGGTTGGAAAACACGATGACATGGTTGTGTTCATCAAAATTCCCCCATTGACAGTATTGGTCCTTTTCTTGAGATGTTCTCAAAAGAGTTAATATGCTCATCAGATGAGGTACCATCTAAACTATTGAGCACATCACTGGAAAGGATTGAAAGAAACACATGATTCAAGGCAAGACACATTCAAACTTGCTTCAAAACTCAAGGACAAGTTTACTATAATCGAGGAAGAATGATACTGACTGCTTTCCAGAGGCATAAAGTTATACTTGGATATCCATCTGAAAGTATTCAAACTTTTAACCACAGATCTCTGTGGAAACCACATTCCTTATCTGTATGGGTTGTTAGTAATTCAGCCATTTTGGGCTTCAAATCATGTGTCTACTAGAAAAACCATTGAGGAATTTTATTTTCTAAGTTTGCTAGGTTTCTTATTTCCATTATTAAGTCATAGAAACCCTAGGGGGGAGAATAGGCAATCTTCTAGAAGATTGTGGTCTCCATAGATTACAAAGTTAAGAATCTTTAAAATTTTAGGCAAGTTGTTCATTTCCTTGTTTGCTTTGAGTTAGTTTTCCCAATGTTGTTTGGAGTCTAAAAAGATTCTTTCCATGTTTTGCAACGGTCTAGTTTCATAAGACCATAAAGGAACTAGAAACCATTTTTGAAAGAATATGGAAGATTAAAACGTTTAGGAAAATAGAGCTAGCATAAGTCCGAAGCTAAGTCAAATAAAGAGGGATCCAAACCTCTACGAGTACCATTTAGGCCTATAGCCAAATAAATCAAGTACTAAATTTTGAGTTGCTTAAATGTGGTGAGAGACCCACCTTCAGAGCAAATATCTTCAACTCTTTTTTGTAGAGAGAATGATTCGACAACTGTTTTTCGTAGAAAGAATGATTAAACTCTAGCATACGTTTGTGAAAGTCTCCCCTATATGTTGGAGTTAAAGCCTTCCAAGGCCTAGAACCCACCATTCTGTGAAGGTTCTTAGTCAGAGTGGGACTGACACAATACCATAACTCCTTGACTTGCCAAATCTTTGCATTCTGGGACTCAAAGAGACGTAAAACCCCAAATCATGAGGAATGAGTGTTTAAGGGGTCTTTTGGATTGAGAGATCTTTGAGCTTCCTCTATTTAAAGTATACCTCATGATTGTGTGTGTCGGGCCATGAGTGTTGTTTATATATGGGTACGAGAATGTTGTTGCTCGAGAACCAGTATGAGAATAAGCCCTGTTGAGAAGACTAGGCTTTAAGAGGACAGAAGCCATTATCCTTGACCTCAAGCCTTCTCACAGCATGTGCATATATAGTTGCAAATGCGAAGCCGCTCTCTCTCAAGGCAAATCTGCTTGAGAGAGTTATGTGCATATACTAAGAGAAAAAAACCTCCGCATCTGCAAGACTACATGTCCTTGGTGTGCACTTGCAATCTCCTATAAATATGGAGTCCGACCATCTATCTACTTGACTTTGACAAGCCAAACATGGACCCTGAAAAAGTCTGTGGAACATGGGTCTTGTTTGGTTAATATGAGAAAAATGACCTGGGATTCTGGATCTAGCCAAGTGAAGTACCCAAATCCATTTCTTGAAGGATCCTGATTTCCCTTAGTATATTTGTCTAAGATGCCAAACTGATTCAAAATGATAGAGAACTGTTAAAAATGTATTTTTAGCAATTTTTGAGAATTTTCTAGAGGCAAGAAAGGATGTTTTGGAATTGTTTGACAAAATCTCAATTGAGGACAGCCACACGTGGTGCCCAATTGGCCAATGGGTGCCACATGGCCACCATGTGGCTGCCAAATCCAGCATGCAGCTGACATGTGGGTGACATAAGCAGCCCTAGGGTGGCATGTATTTCAGTTGGTGTTTGTAGTGAACATACTTTAGACATGTAAGTTTGTATTAAAGACTTAAGGTGAATTTTGGCACGGGTATTGCCATGTAGGACCAAGATTTTTCGCCACAATTTATGGAGAATTGTCCAATTACAAATCAAGGTTTTCAAACCCCTTTCTATGCGGAAAATTTTGTGTCCACAGGAGTACCACGACATATAGTTGGAAAAAAGCTTTGATGATGATGATGACGAGTATTATGACATAAACATTTGTCCAATGAGAACACGTGTGTTACGACACATCTGAGAGACAGATATGGCTTTGAATTTCAAAGATTGAGAAAGTGTAGCGAAATGAGGGGCATACCCATCCTATGGTTATTCTTTCTCACAATTTCAAAAAAAACCATGGGAATTTTTGGCATCAACGTTTACTTTGATTGAATTTCAATTTATATGTTATGAAGGGAAATTTGGAGTTGAATTAGGGTTAGAAGGAATAAGAGTGTGAGAAATCTCATCCAGGCATATGACAACCATTGTGTGAGATAAAGAGCTAGGATATTAGCTTTCTCTCACCCCTTGGTGCCTTTCATCTATGGTCCAAAATGAATCAAATGAAGCTTCCACATTAGAACTCCCATATAAGACTTCAAACCCTAACTTTCCTCATAACTAAGTGAGATTGGAGAAGACCTGGAGAGCCATGCCACCCATTCTTGAGCTCTAAGAGAGACAAAAACTAAGAGAGAAAGGGAGAGAGAGAGAGGCACACCCCCGTCTCTCCTTGGAGCCTAACATTGGAGGACCATCAAACTTCAAGGATGTCTTCAATCTCACCTCCTTCAGCCTTCTTTCTTGCTGTAAATCCATTAACAACAGCAAGATATATGATCCTTTATCCCCTCATTTAAA